ATGCCACCATCCCTCTCCATTCCACTCAGGACAGGCCGGGAGGCTGTGCCTGAACAGCCCCTTCTCTGAACTCCCACAGCTCTGTGTAACGCCTGGACTCCTGGTGTGAACATCCTCTTACTATCTGTTATGATGGCCCTGGAGCAGTGGTTGTCACCCTTCCTAACGCCACGACTTGTTAATACAGTTCCTCATATTGTGGTGACCTCAAACCGTGAAATTAGTTTTGTTGCTACTTCATAACTATAATTTTACTACTGTTATGAATCGCAATGCAAATATCTGATATGCAGGATATATTTAGGCAACCCCTGTGAAAGGGTCGTTCGACTCCCAAAGGGGTTGTGACCCACAGGTTGAGAACTGCTGCCCTTGAGGATAGCCCTAGTCTTTATTTTTGTTTTTCTTTAATTCAGATCTTGCGGGGGTGTGTTTGTCTTTGGGCTTCACACTTTATGGGCCGCAACTTTGTAACAAACCAGATTTCTCACTAATTCTAGAGGCAACTGGTGGCTTGGAGTTGGCTTCCTAAGTAGTAATCCGAGAAGCCCGTATGGTAAAAGGGACGCTGGAGAACACCCAGGGTTTTCTTTTGGTGTGATTCACATTCTCTTGTGCCACAGTCTTGACATAGCAAAGCTTTGTTGGCAGCAAATACACCAATGCAGAGAGCAGCGTAGAAGAAGATCGTGGCCAACAGCAAGTCCCACACAGAGCAAGGTGCTACAGTCTTGGTAGAACCCTGGTCAAAGGAGAACTTGGAACTGACTTGCGTCCCGCTGCACATTCCACTCAGGACTCAGGGCAGGATAAGATGGGAACTCTGTGAGAGGAAGCATGTGATTACTGCCTTTGTGAGACTCTGTCTGGGAGTTAGCTCAAGCAACCAGAGCAGAGGGATGAGGGGTGCAGGACACAAATACTAAGATGTCTGAGGATACACATGGGGGAATAAAAATGCAGTCTCAAAACCCACGGGAGCCCAAGTGTGAGCCCCTCAGGGAACATGGAGGCACTCGGCACAGGGTCGCCCTGTTGGGCTCCTGAGAATCTCTGCTTCCTGCAGAGCCTGATGCCGGCTCCCAGCTCCTGCCCGCCCCATCCTTTCCGCAGTTTTTATAGCAGACTCCCAGGCTCTCAAAGATGATTTGAACTAGCCATTTGCCTCAGTTCTTTCTTTCCTTTTTTGTAACTGTCTGAGGTCACTAGGAAGCCTACAGACAGGATCAACTGTGGAGCTGTGACTTGGGGGTGGGGCCCAGTAGAGTCACATGGTCTTGAAGTGTGATCACCTGCTGCAGACAGGGTCTCTGTCAGAGGCAGGAGGGCCTAGCAGGCCCCTGATGCTCGGTAGCTCAGCCCTCTGCTTCCTGCTTCCCGACCCTGTGGGAGCTCCTGCTCTCAGAAAGTGTGGGGAGAACTTACGGTTGCTGTGTGACTATGGCATTCCTATATCAACACAAAGCAACACAGAAGGGGACAATTATGTAAAACTTCCCGTCTACACCAGAGTCAGTTACACCACAGAATAGGCTTAACTGATTCCTCAGTTAAGTTCCTGAGATAATAAAAAGTCCAACAACTGATGGTGCTGGAGGACCTGAAGGTAAAACCCCACTCACTCGGCTCCAGCCAGAGCCACTCCTCTCTAGGGTGTCCATACTTCCAATACCCGCCACGTTTGACGTCTGCACTCAGAGGAGGTGCTCAACGTGACTGCATTCAGCCTTTGTTGTGGGTATATATTACAATTTTAGTAGTTTTTTCCTTTCTTAAAATGTATAATTTTTTTTTTTTTTGAGACAGAGCCTCAAGCTATCCCCCTGGGTAGAGTGTCATCACATCACAGCTCACAGCAACCTCCAACTCCTGGGCTCAAGCGAGTCTCTTGCCTCTGCCTCCCAAGTAGCTGGGACTACAGGTGTCCGCCACAACACCCGACTATTTTTTGGTTGCAGCCCTCATTGTTTGGCAAGCCTGGGCTGGATTCGAACCCACCAGCTCAGTTGTATGTGGCTGGTGCCCTAGCCATTTGAGCCATAGGCACCAAGCCAAAATGTGTGTAACTTTTTATATAATTACCTCATAATTATTTCTGTGGAGAACACATAACATTCACTCTTATAGTGTTTTCTTTCTTTCTTTTCTTTTTGAGAGTCTCACATTTGCTCAGACTAGAGTGCCACGGCACCAGCCTAGCTCACGGCAATCTCAGATTCTGAGGTCAAGAGATCCTCCTGCCTCAGCCTACCCTGCAGCAAGACTACAGGCACCTGCCACCACGCCAATCTCAAACTTGCTCAGGCTGGTCTTGAACTCCTGATCTCAAACCATCCCCTTGCCTGGGCCTCTCAGCATTAGGATTATGGGTGTGACCCACTGCGCCCAGCCTCTCCCACAGGGTTTTTCAAGAATACAAGGCCTGTTGTTGTGGCTCATGCCTGTAATCCTAGTACTCTGGGAGGGCAAAGTGGGAGGGTCACTTGAGCTCAGGCGTTTGAGACCAGCCTGAGTGACCCCATCTTTACTAAATACCTCATATTTATAAAAATATAAAAATCAGCCAGGTGTGGTGGTGCACACCAGCGACACGGGAGGCTGAAGCAGGAGGATCGCTTGAGCCCAGGAGTTTCAAGTTGCTGTGAGCTGTGATGCTGCCATGGCACTCTAGCCGGGGCAACAGAGCAAGACTCTGTCTCAAAAAAACTGTCCCCCCAAACACAATATATTAACAATGGCAACCATGTTGTACAATAGATTTAATTTCTTAACTGAAATTCTGTGTTCTGTAACCAGCAGCTACCCTGTCCCCCACACCTCAGCCAAGTGCCCCAGCCCCTGGTAGCTACCATTTTATAGTGGATGAGAAAAGTTGATAAACGTGTAATCGTTCACCTTTGAACAAATGAATCTGAGTAACATCTAAGCTACATTTACAGCCTGCACAGGGGGAGTGACCCAGTAAGGGAGCACTTACTCCCTAGTGTTAATGTACGTGACCTAGGGTACTTCATATAGGGCTCTATCACGAGGGCACCTGCAACAGTTATGAACACATAGTCAGTCACCAGTAGTGGCACTGATTTTAAAAATCACATCTTAGTTCACAACAATAATCTAACAATTAAGGTTTATTAGTGGTTAAAAATGAACTTTCTATAATATTAGTAAATTTCATTTTCAGCTCTGACTTGAAGTGTTGATACCACTGAAGCAAGATTTTTCTTCTTTCAATCTTTTCTTGTAAAATTAGAGTTTTCTCTTTTTCTAAAACAGCAGGCAGCTCCTCCCAGTTCTGGATAAAGATGAAGGGGGCACCCATGGCCTTAAGCAGCCGCAGCGGGGTGGGGCGGGGCACGGACGTGTTCCCGCAGCTGCCTGTGGTCATCACGTCCTCCACCACGGGCACTGAGCCGGAGGAGCAGGCCTCGTAGATGCGGTAGCACTCGGTGTTCATGCCCGCCGGGCACAGCGTGAGGTCGCTCCGCAGCAGAGCCTCCTGGTAGCTCCTGAGACTTTCATTTGTTTCCTGCGGCTGCCACCTAGAGAATTGGGGAAACCACTGTAGCTTTCACTTTGCTAGGTATGTATTTTGTGACAGAAAGGATCCTATCTTCAATAAAATCAGTTTCAGAAATGGTGAACAAATCATAGGAATGGTGGTGTAAGGGCAATTTGCATCCTGGCCTGAAACATTCTTACAACTATGTAAGGATGCGAACATTTTGTAGCTGTGTTTCTATACAACCAGAGGTCACAGTAACTAGCTGTGGGTCTATACAACCAG